AAATTGGGTTGTTTTAATTTACGGCCAAAATATTTAATTATTTTAAATTGCTTTTAAATTTTGTATGTATTGTTTTTTACTTTGGCTGTTCACCGCCCTGAGTCCTATTTTGGAGAAGGGCGGTATAGAAATTTAAATAATAAATAAATAAAATAAAATTTATCACAGGTAGATTCTTGCTGTTTGCCAGAATTGAATGAGCAGCAGGAAGCACTTCGCCATGAGTAGCGTTGGGCAAGTTCTCAGATTAGAAACCATGGGGAGCCTGATAAATCAAGATGGGCTCACAGTTTGGCAATATGTTCCATCTCTTTTAAGGACAATTCATCTACCTATCCTTGGCAAATGACTTCTCCCATTTTGTTGAAAGTTATCATTTGCAATAATTTCACTTTTATGCACTCATAGATATATACCAAACACTAAATGGTGGTTTTGAGGGTATGAAGAAGAAGTACGATTTTTATTATTTTGCAGAGTATTATTGCTGTTTTAATGATTACATTATAGCATTAGCACTTAGAATTATATACCACTCCATAGTGCTTTACAGCACTCTCTGAGCACTTTACAGTGTCAGCATATTGCCCCACAATCTGGGTCCTCATTTTACCGACCTCAGAAGAATGGAAGGCTGAGTCAGTCTTGAGAATTGAACTCCTGGCAGTTAGCAGAATTAGCCTGCAATACTACATTCTAACCACTGCGTCATAGGACTCTTATGTGATAGGCATTATGTAATACTCAAAGACTGTAGAGGTGCAATAAAAATCTTAGGCTCTAAGTTTTGAGTAGTTGCCTAGAATCACGTTGGTAAGAAGAGCGGCCATAAAAATTGAAATAAATAAATAAACCAACAAACTCTTTAATTAATATTGACAGCATTTCCATTGCAAAATTTGACATTGCATCATTAAATGTTTATAGTACATGTACCAGTAGTGGGTTTCAAAAATTTTTACTACCGGTTCTGTGGGTGTGGTTTGGTGGGCATGGCATGGATTGGTGGGCGTGGCTTGGTGGGTGTGGCAGGGGAAGGATATTGTAAAATCTCCATTCCCACCCCACTCTAGGGGAAAGATACTGTAAAATCTCCATTCCCACCCCAATCCAGGGGAAGGTTTCTGCTTTTCTTCCCGATCAGCTGGGACTCAGGAGGCAGAGAATAGATGTGGGTGGGGCCAGTCAGAGTGGTATTTACCAGTTCTCCGAACTACTCAAAATTTCCGCTACCAGTTCTCCAGAAATGGTCAGAACCTGCTGAAACCCACCTCTAGACTGTACATACAGACCAGGACATGTACATTGAGACACCAGGGTAGAGTTAAGCCATTGGAATGACAATGAATATGCTGTGCACCTTCAACAATGCATAAGAATGGATTGCTCCAGCAATGGTCCTCAGAAGGAGGATGTTCTCTGAAATATTAGAGAGTATGCAAACTCATGTTAAAAATCTATCCAAAAAATATATTAGGATGCTTTCATGTAGCCTGCTAAGGGTTTTTTTTTTTTTTTTTTACCTTTTTCTATGTAAAATTCTTTCAGATGTTCTTTTCTTGCTGGCAGTAAAAAGTGGGAGGACCTCCTTAAGGCTCAACATATTATTAAAAAGATCATGGTGGTCACCAAAGAATCAGAGACTTGTCTACTTGTGACTTATTCTAGATGTTTGGAGATATTTTTAATTTTGATTAAGTATGGGATTGAGGATTTTGATTTGAGCCAGAATTGGGGGGAAAGCTGGATGATTTTAATGAAACCTTTGATACACCCACTCACCCACCCAAGTACAAGTTTATTCTGATGGAGTACTTATGCATAGTATCCATCAAGAATGCTAATTGATCTATAGCTATCCAGAGCTTTAAAAAAAAAAATGCAATTTTTACCAAAAGACCTCCCAGACTTCTGGGGGTGGGGGTAGTGTTCATAATCAAATCTCAAAAATACAGGTAGTCCTCGACTTACAACAGTTTGTTTAGTGAACATACAAAGTTACAGTGTCTTATGACCTTTTTTCACACTTATGACCATTGCATCCCTATGGTCACGTGATTTACATTCAGATGCTTGACAACTGGCTCATATTTACAACCGTTTGCAGTGTCCCAGGGTCATATGATCCCCTTTTGCAACCTTCTGACAAGCAAAGTCAATGGGGAAACCAGATTCACTTCACAACCATGTTACTAATTTAACAACTGCAGTGATTCACTTAAGAAATGTGACAAGAAAAGTCGTAAAATGGAGGAAAACTCACTTAACAAATTTCTCACTTAGCAACATAAATTTTGGGCTCAATTGTGGTCATAAGTCAAGGACTACCTGTATACATTTTACTGTCACCCTCTCCCACCCCATCTCCCAAATTATCACATATAAACTTGATATTAATACCATCAATGTATCATTGTAGGAGAAGGAACCTCTGTTATCACAACTGTGGATTGAATTTAACAGAGTTGCAATTTGCTGGGAATGGGGAAGAATCTCTTTGGCTTTTGGTGTCAGAAACATTTTTCACCTGCCAGGATTTTCCCAATCTCCCCTGTAGCCAATTCCTTAAGTTCTCTTTTTCCATTTATTTGATGCAGCAGCATGTTAAATGTTGCCATCCTGCAGACACCAGGACATTAAGTGGCCTGTAAATTGCATGTCTGGGGGCCACTTTTCCCTGTGATGGATGCTATTCAGAATGCCCATGAGCGACCATCTGGTGGCAGAAACACCCGCTGGATATGGAGCTTCTAGGCCACCTGGCATCCATTCGAAGAACACGAACATTTCTTGGGCTTCTTAGTACCTGAGATGATGCTGCTCAAACAAAAAAACCGTGAGATATGCTTGGAAAATCAATACCAGGAGGAAAAACTTCCAATAAATAGTTGAAATAAAAATAAATAGTTTTAATGCAACAGAGTTGTAAGATAGACAGGTTTATATTCTGAGCCAGGTAATACAGTCTTGGAGCATCATAAAGAGAAAGTCGATAACAGAAAGTCTTAAAAATATCAAAACATGCTCTGCCATATATATATATTATCTACTTTCTCTTTGTGATGCTCCAAGACTGTATTACCTGGCTTGGAATATAAACCTGTCTATCTTACAACTCTGTTGCATTAAAATTTCCAACTATTTATTGGAAGATATATATATACCATATATATATATATATATATATATATATATATATATATATATATATATATATACACATTATATATACATATATATATATGTGTGTGTGTGTGTGTGTGTTTTCTGAGGTTTTCGCGGGTGTTTGTATGTAGGTCTTTGGTTATTCGGGTTTTCTCCCGCGTAAAATTGGAAGTGTGGAAATTGGGATCGTAGAAACACCCAGGAGCATAGAAGAGTCCAAAGGCAGATGCATGAATAAATGTGATAAATGTATTTATTCATATAACAAAACATATTAACTATATACAAAGGCTGTATTAATATCCATTAGGATAGGGGGCACACAGCGTGTGTGACTACCCTTATGAAAGATCATGTCTCATGGAGAACAAACGTAAAAGAGAGCATGGTGGAAAGGTTAGAGGGGGTTTTATACTCAGTGTAAGCCCCTCCTCTCCACATAGGGGTGGGGGCATTTTCTGCCTCCACTAGTGTCTGTATGATACATGTGCCAATGGCTTGTAAATACTTGACAGGAAGTGTCTTGGCGATGTTTCGACGAAGTCTCATTCGTCATCTTCAGGCTGGTGTTTTCGGCTTCGTGCTTCTAGGAGCAATGTGTGATCGCAGCTGTTTCTTCCTTTTAACTGCCAGTGGGGGTGTGAACTGATTGGGTGGGAGCTTGGCTGTGTTCTGATTGGGTGGAGGTGTGTTCTGATTGGTTGGGGGTTTGGCTATGCTCTGATTGGATGGGGGTTTGGCTGTGCTCTGATTGCCCCCTTTGCTCAAATCCCCCTGCAACTCAGACTAACCCGAGCACAACCAAGCCCCCACCTAAACAGAACACACCCCCATCTAATCAGAGCACAGCCAACCCCCCATCCAATCAGAGCACAGCCAAACCCCCAATCAATCAGAACACAGCCAAGCTCCCACCCAATCAGTTCACACCCTCACTGGCAGTTAAAAGGAAGAAACAGCTGCGATCACACATTGCTCCAAGAAGCACGAAGCCGAAAACACCAGCCTGAAGATGACGAATGAGACTTCGTCGAAACGTCGCCAAGACACTTCCAATTTTACGCGGGAGAAAACCCGAATAACCAAAGACCTACATATATATATATATATATATATATATATATATATATATATATATCTCGTATATATATATATCTCGTATATATGGCAGAGTATGTGCAATCTGCAAAGTATTTTGCAACACTTAAAACCCCTTCATGTTTTGTGGCCTTTGCATAAGCTGTGTTTTAAATTCCATGGAGTTTGGGAAATATTCTGAAAGGTCCATAGCATGATATGATAACATCTGAATAACTTTATTTCCCAAGACCTCTAGCACCTAGTATTGTCAGGGACAATAGTGTTCCACACTTATTTGTAATGTTTCCTTAAATGGTTTCCAGGACTTATAACTTTACCTAATCAACCCAGCTGTTCTTAGGAACCTCATAACCCAAGTCCTGTGATGGCTGGGTCAGTATCATTGCAGGCATCCATCATTCTCTCATTTTCTTTCTCATTCCTTGCCTTTATTAAGGAAACTCCTTCTTCCATTAATGCCAGGAAAATGTAGAATTATTTGCCATGTTTATTCCTTACTGCAATGCTTCATTAGAGTCACTGTGGGGAATTCTAAATGGAGAGAGGTACCCAATCGCATTTTGGGGGACAAAGGGGAGGAGGGACTATGAATTTAATAGAGGCATCAATTGCAGTTGTTGAAGATATCCCAATATATCTCACTTTGAGCTGAGTTGAAGTGGTCTTTATTCATTATTAAGAAGGTATGAAGTGTGCCAAGGATATAGCATTAATAATTGTTTTTATAATTCCAGGGCAGCTGGATTACCTCCCCCATTGCAGCAGTCATGGTAACTTTAGCCTGGAAATCTGTGGTTGCATCTGCGATGAAGGCTGGGCTGGAAAGAATTGCTCTGAGCCTCTCTGTCCCCTTGGCTGCTCTAGCCGGGGTGTGTGCATTGATGGCCAGTGTATTTGCGACAGTGATTATAGTGGGGAGGATTGCTCCGAGGCACGTTGCCCAACTGACTGCAGCTCCCGAGGACTCTGTGTGGATGGAGAATGTATCTGTGAAGAAGGCTTTGCTGGAGAAGACTGTAACGAGCTCAGATGCCCAGAGGACTGCTCAGGGAAGGGAGTCTGTGCCAATGGGACTTGCATCTGCCAAGAGGGCTATATAGGGGAAGACTGTGGGCAGCTGAGGTGCCTCAACGCTTGCAGTGGGCGTGGATTTTGCCAAGAAGGCCTGTGCTCTTGCGAGGAAGGTTACCAAGGACGGGATTGTTCAGCAGGTATGACAGAATGTAACAGTTAAGATAATGAATAAATATAAAGCTCAAAGGACCCCTAGCAAATTTCAGTCCTTACTTTGTCATTTTTAGAAATCTGAAGCATTTTTTTTAAAAGGAGCATTTGCCAAGGAAAATATTGGAGCTAGTATATACATACAACCAGATTCATTAGAAGTTAATGGATTATGTATCTTTTTTAAAAAAAAACACTGAAAACGGTGATTTTGCATGGGCATTGTTGACTTAAAGGCGATGAGATGCTTGAGGACTTTGCTCAATCCTCATTTTTAAGTAAACAGACATAATTTGCATTCCCCATAATACAGACAGTGAATATTATTAATCTCCAATTTTCTTATTTCTCTACAACAAATAAACTTTAAAAGCATATAAAATACATACTGTACTTCAGACAATCCATGTTGAAGAATGCATTTTACAATAGAAAAAAGAAAATATTTTAATATGGAAAATAATGGGATAAATGCATTTTCTTTAAATATGCAGTCATATCAAAACAGGATTTATGCACAAGTAGGCATATCTATGCATCCATATTTCAGGGCATACTGCTAATAATAAAATATAATAGTGAAAGACCTTTATTATTGAAGCAAGCTTTATGAAGTTGTTAATACAAGTCTAGAAGTGAAGAGGCTTCTCTTTCAATGAACTTCTAGTCTATATTGGGTAAGAAGAAAAGAGGGGGATCCAGATAAGGTCAAAAAGTCAAGAAGGTGGCCACAACAGTGCAATCTAAGCATCACCTGTTTTATTTTGTTTTTTTGCCCTGTTGCAGATACCCCTGATAGAAAGGAAAGGAGATGCCCAGCTCAGAGGGACCATATGTATGCATTTGGCAATGGAACTGAATTCTAATAAATCTTGAAGTTTTATTTTCTTACTATTTGTGCTTGTTTGTCAGCCTTCCTGGGTAGACTAGACAGGCGACATTACTAGATGAGCTACCATAATTGTACTTTATTGTAAGACCTCATTAACATAATCTTGCAAATCTGAAAGTACAAAACTTTTGCCCTCTCATTTACAGTCTGAGAAGCTAGGGAGGGTGCCTTCTGAGTCTCTTTCTCTGACCGTTGTGCAACTGCAGACTCTCTTATCTCTTTCCTAGACAGCATTTCTTTACCCCACCACTCAAGATCTTTCCCATATACCTTTATGTTTTCCAAGAGCAACATACATTTTCTGCTTTTAACTGCTTTCTCTGAATATTACCTCTTTTTCATTCAAGGACTGAAGACTTACCACAAATCAAACATAGCTACCAAAACTACAAGGCTGGACTCTGAAATCTTTAGGCAGATAATGCCATAATAAACCCAAAGGCCAATGCTCTGTAAAGTTTCTGAAGCAGAAGAGCAAAGTATAGTCACTCAACCAAATGAACAAAAGATTAGGAGTCATAGCCCAGAATAATTGTGCATTCTTGGTAAGGGACCTTACCAGACAATGAGATTGGAGTGGTAGCAGGATATCATATGATGTCAAATGGTCTTCTCAATATATTCTTTTTATTCGGTGTAAAGACCATGCTGAGAATATTGTAGTTATTTCTAGGTACTACTTTTAAGGAAGTACACTGATAAAATAAGAACGAATGGCTTAAATTACAGGGAAGTAGATTTCAATTAGTCATCAGGAAAAAATTCAACAATAAGACCCTGTGAACAATGGAACAGGACAGACTGCCCTAGGAACTGGTAGACTTTCTTTTGCTGGAAGTGTTTAATTGAGGTGGGGAAGCTTTGGGGCAGGGATTCATTTAGGTAGTGGGTAGGACTACCTACCCATTATCTAAATGGGGTAGGGGTCGCAAAGAATCAGACATGACTTAATGATTGAACAAAGGGATTAGATAATCGCCAACATTTCTTTAACCCTTAGATTCTATGTTTTTACAAAGAGGTCTTATTGAAATAGGCTAGCTGTTGAGATAACTTTTATTTCATGGGAGATTGAAACTGATAAATACTAAAAAATTGACAGATAAGCAACAAAGTGCCAGTTCAAGGACCTGTATTATATATTCTGGATGTTACAGTGAGGTAAAATGTGGTCGCAGCTTCTCATGGCAAATCTTCACCAGTCCCTTAAAAATACTAATGCAGAATTATGCAAATATGCCCACTCTTCCCCCAATAAAATAGTGCAGATCCTGCTGTTCTCAAATACTGTCAATAAAATATGTAGATACTATTATTACACCCTTCTATTTTTCTACATAAAATAGTAAAAAAAAAAAAAAACAAGCTGACCTTGTGCAAGGTATGAAAGTGCCATTAGGTGGTGGAAGGAAGAAATGAGCCATTAAGGAGAGACTTTGGCAAGGGTTCAATACTCTAGAGATAGAAGGAAGCATGTAACCCCAATAATCCCATCATGAATTTGTTTAGTATAAATTGCATCTATTTCTTGACCTGGGCTATCTCAGAGGGTTGATGGCTTTGCTCTTCTCTGCTCTACTTTATTGAAAATCTGGAAAGAAGTTGCTAGCGAAATCAGAGGATGGAGAGATGGAAGAAAGGAAGCCAGAAACAAAATGCTAATAAAGAGGGCAAGCCATGACAATAACAAGGACTTCAGGAGATGCTGGCAGGTGACCAGAGGAAAGAGCAGCGATCCATGATTCCCAGAACTTCCAGCACAATCTCTAATCATATTTGCAGCAGGTCACTGGATCTCACCTTCAAGATCATCTAGCTGTCTTTGAAGACCACTTGAATATCGTAGCTGGTGCAAAATGCTTGTTAACCTGCTTGCTAACTGGCACTTGTTGCCATGAGCTGTGAAACTTGCATTAATTGCCAGTGAATTTCTGGATACAATCCAAAATGCTTTCATCCATAAAGTCCTGCGTGGCTGGACATGCGGGTACTTGCCAAACCACCTTTTCTCAAAATTAATCTCTTTGATTCATTCTTCTCAGGAAAAATTGCTATTTCCCATTTTCAGGAGGCAATTGGGGTGTAAAACACAGATATATATTTTTTTTTAGTTATGGCCTCAGTCCTGTGGAATAACTCCCTTTAGAAATTAGACTAGCAGTCTTTTGAACATCTTCCAGAAACTAATGAAAACAGAGCCCTTCTGGAGAATAGGATGTTTATTGTTTTAATTGTTGTTGCTTCATTTTTAATTTTTATTTAACTTAATTAGTTTTGTTTTTGTGGACATTATAATCATTATCTCTCTTTAATTGTTAATCACCAAGAAACCCTGTAGATTACAATAGTATGACATGTAATAAATAAATGAATCATAAATATATGTTCTAGAACAGTTGTAGAAGAACAAAGGATTTTTATTCCAACCTTTAAGAGTATCAAATCCATTTCTAATATCTGGAAACATTGTTGTTTGTCCCTGTATTTCTGATAATCAGCAAGGGTTATTCCGCAGGTCAGAGGTACCAACACTGAACAGGCATTTTTAGAAGAGTCGTACATGTTCTAGCTTCCTGTAGAGATGCCATGGGAAGTAGCAAACTCTTTGGTTTCAGAAGACCACTCAGATCTGGGATGTGTTTTCCCTAGTTTGTTTTTTATGTTTTAGAACTTCCAGTAACAGAAAGGTTTTAGCTGTTGCATGATCACCCTCATGGCATTTGGTATGATAAGCTCAGGCAGCTCATCAAGCCCAGGACTAAACAAAAGAGCAGGAGGGCTCTTATCCAAAGTGCTTTTCTACTTTTGCTTCAAGGAGAAGGCTATTTTTTTTTAAAAAAGGAGAAAAGTGCTGTTTCACATTTCTCATTTCAAATAGTAAGCTTAATAAGGGTGAGAAGAGGTCTTGTGAAAGACCACTCCCTCCTAACTCAAGGCAATTTCATCTTATGAATTGTCCAAAGGGAGTGAAGCAAAAGCAGCATCTTTCCTGCTAATGTTTTCCAGAAGTCTGCCTCTTTCCTTTTTGCAGAGGAAAATAACAGAATAACAGAATTGGAAGGGACTTAGAAGTGTCTTGTAGTCCAACCACCTTCTCAAGCAGAAGATCTTATATCATTCCAGACAAATGACAGTCCAGTCTTTTCTTGAAAATATCCCACAATTTCTGAAGGGAAGCCGCTCCACTGAATAATTTTTCCTATCAGGTTGTAACTCTCTTTAATAATCTTTCACCCATTACTCCTTGCCGTACCCTCAGGTGCTTTGGATAATGGGTTGACCTCCTGTTCTTTGTGACAACCTCTCAAGTATTGGGAAACAGCTATCATGTCACCCATAGACCTTCTCTTTCTTAGACTAGATATACCCGGTCCCCCTAACTGTTCATCATATGATTTAGCCTATAACCACCTTATCATCTTTGTTGCTCTTCACTGCACACTTTCTAGGGCCTCAGCATCATTTTTATATGGTGGTGACCAGAACTGGAAGAAGTATTCCAAATGTGGGCTCAATGGTGCAGTATAGAGAGGTACTATAGTGCAGTATAGAGAGGTATTTCCTGTGATCTTGTTGCTATCCTTGATGCAGCCTAGGCCTACATTGGCTTTTTTGGCAGCTGTAGCAGATTGCTGACTCATTTTTAAGTGGTGGTCCATCAGGACCTCTAGATCTCTTTCACAGACACAACTGTTTAGCTATGTATCTCCTCTTCTATACCTGTGCATTTTGATTTTTCTTGCCTACTTTACTTTTCTCACCAGTGCATTGCACTTGGTTGGATAGGACCCAGTGTTTAAGTCTGTCAAGATCCTTCTCTATCTTGAGGCTATCTTGAGGCTATTCCTCCCACTTGGTATCATCTGCAAATTTGATAAGTTCCCCTTGATCTGTTAGTGTTAGTGTATAAGCATCTGAGTCCTTCTTGATGGCCCTGCATTTGCTTCCTATGTCTCCTGCTTTGTATGTGGGTTCCTCTTCTTTTACACTACAAAATGTTTTGAGATTTATGTTTGGGATTAGGTCCCAAAGATTGGTCTCCCTCCCCTTCCAGATTTAGTTTAAAGTCCTTTGGATAAGCTGAGCCACTTGTTTTCCAAAAATGTTCTTACTGATTCTTGTGAAGTGTAGCCCATCATCTGCCAGAAGCTCTACATACAAGTAATTTAAATCATGGTCTAAGAATCTAAAGATCATGTCCCTGGTCATTCCCACAAATTATACAGTCTCTTACATTTGTGAGATGCCATGTTTGAGACATCTCTTTTATTTTCACATAGGCTGGCTGGAGAACTCCTATCCCTTATTGACAGCAGCAGGAACAGTGGTCCCATTCACTCAAATATATTATTTTATATGTTGTTCCCAAAGGGAATTCCTCCAATGAGTGGCTTGATATTCTTAGTGAATGGTTCAATGTAAGTTTGAGGTGCTTGTGGCACTCACATGATAGACAAGTGTTCTTACAAATACACCTTTTATGCATAAATTAGCATGCCAAAATGAGCTGAGTCCCCCTTTCTATCATCCAATATTCTGGAGAGTTTGGACCAACTATGCGGAGTGGACTGCTAAATCCATTCATCTCAATCCATGCTTGCTGCAGAGGTCCCAAGGCTAGATGTATCATGAAAGCAAGGACGTGGGAGTTCAGTCATTTGAATTATTTACTGGTTTCTTCCTTTTAAGGGCAGTAATGCAGCCATCTACAAATTATACAGTAACAAAAAGCTTCACAACCTGATTTCTGCAAATTGGGTTGCTACAACACAACAGCTGTTTAGTTTCCAAGCCAGTTATTACCTGTATATAAAGAATACTGAGAAAGCCATTGTTACTGTTGGAACACAGGTAGTGGCTAACAGTACAATGATACGTCTAAGCAGTTTCCATTGAGTTTACTACTAGACTTTACTACTAAGCAAATGGGCATAGGATTGCTACAGTACTTAAGAAATAGAGTGGAAAGTTCCTTCCTATCACTTCACTCCATGTTTTCATTTCATCCACTCCAGTTGGAATAACAGAAGCCAAGGCTGTGGTGCTATATCTCAACCTGATGATGCCAGCAAGAGCTTCAAAGGCTTCCAGAAAATCTCGTCCCTCAATAGATGGGGCAGATAGATGGGGAAGAAATGGAGGTAGTGACAGATTGTATTTTCCTGGGCTCCAAGATCACCACATATGGGGACTACAGCCAAGAAATTAAAAGATGCTTGCTCCTGGGGAGGAAAGCTATGGCAAAGTTAGACAGCATACTAAAAAGCAGAGACATCACCCTACCAAGTGTGTATAGTCAAGGCTATGGTTTTCCCAGTTGCAATGTATGGGGTGAAAGTTGGACCATAAGAAGGCTGAGCGTCAAAGAATTTAGGCCTTTGAACTATGGTGCTGGAGAAGACTCCTGTGAGTCCCTTGGACTGTAAGCTGATCAAACCAGTCAGTTCTGAGATCAACCCTGACTGCTCTTTAGAAGGCCAGATCCTGAAGATGAAACTCAAATACTTTGGCCACTTAAGGAGAAGGAAGGACTCACTGGAGAAGAGCCTAATGCTGGGAACAATTGAGGACAAAAGAAGCAGGGGGTGTTAGAGAATGAGGTGGCTGGATGGAGTCACTGAAGCAGTCGGCGTGAGCTTAAATGGTCTCCAGGGGATGGTAGAGGACATGAAGGCCTGAAGGAAAGTTGTCCATGGGGTCACCATGGGTCGGACATGACTTTGCAACTAACAACAACATCCATATTGATGTCAGTTACCCTAGATGGGGTTTTTTTTTCTTATGAACTAAATTTGCCTCATTGTCCCCAGCGTCTCACCTCAAAGAGAAATAAGAATATACTAAACAATGCCATCATCAAACAAAGAGCACAGTCAAGTGTTTAGCAGCTAATGTGATAGAAGTAATTTCCTCTGGCTAATTAAAAAGCTTGGGTGTGTTTCTATATTGACTCTGACATGCTAATATTTTTCTTCCTTCACCAGTGAGGTAGAATCATGAAAGGCAATCTCTTCTGTCTTATTGTTTACAGCTGACTGCACATGCAGGAACTTAATATTCTCAAATGTCCTCTGCTTATTAAAGTTAATCCTTATTGTACTAAATTATTTCTAGAATAAAGAGAACTTACATATATTTGTATATCTCCTAAATACTGTATAGAGACAAAGCCTTTTTGGCTTAGCAAGCTTTTTTATGTATCAATTTTACAGCCTCAGCCATGCATTTGACCTGTTCAGTTTAAGTTGAAAATAAAGCCTCACCACACTTCATGTATAAGCTGGCAAGTTAAATAATACAAAGACGTGGAAATTTCAATTCCACTTACTGTATTCCATATCCTACCAAACAGCCCTCACAATATGCTATCTGATCTCTCTCTTAGCACTGGCACTTTCACACACAAGAATACTCGATGAGTAGAAAGTTTCTTACTTAATTCCAAAGATCATCCTTCCTTCTAGTGATGCTATATTTTATACTGGTAGTCTTCACTTAATGACCATTCATTTAGCAACTGTTTGAAATTATGATAGCACTGAAAAAGAGACTTATGACCAGACCTTAGCTTAGGGGTTTAGCAACTGTCCCACATTTACATTTGGATTCCCAAAATTCTGAGCTCTCACTTCAAAAAGGCATGTTTCTAATCTTCATAGCTGCCAAAGATAGCTTTAAAAGATCAGTTATTATCATTTTATTTGTATCTGAATCTGGATGGGGAATTGTGTGTGCAAGCACATCTTACCATATGAAGCTCCCTTGCACCCTTAACAAATTGAGAGATGGGAACGAGGACTGCAAAGGCAGCATAGCTCGGTTTCCAAAGTGCCACAAACAATGAAAGAGATCGAAACAGTCATAAACTGATGTAGCTCTAATATTTGGAAATCCTGGAATGTTTATATATTATACTATGTAAAAGAAAATATGCATGTAAAAATACTGCACATATGCATATTACAAGTGGAATGCTGGAAAGAGTGAGTTGTTGAGAATGGCATTGCTGGTTAAAGTCAAAGCCACCCAAAAGAAAACTGTGCACAACTTCTGGGACTTTTATTTGGGCCTAAATGGATTGTCTATTGGAAAAAATTACTATGGCAATAATACAATATAAGCTATGAATTAAAAAAAATTCCCAAGGTCCACCTGAAAGGTCTCCCCATGAGGAGGAAATACAAACACAACACTGACACTTAACTTTAACTAAGATTTAAGTCTACTTTGTGCAATACATTTGTTTAAACAACATCTAAGCCAGGGGTGAAATGCTCCCAGTTCGGACCGGATCACTCGATCCGGTAGCGATGGCGGCGGGAGGTTCAGAGAACCGGTAGCAAAAATCCCTGCCCACCCCCATGCCCATCTGAGCTGCATAATCATCAGAAGCCTTTTTTTATTATTTTTAAAAGCATTTTTCCTACAATCTCTTCAGCCAAAAAAAATGCTTTTAAAAGGAAAAAAAAGCCTCTGATGATTGCACGGCTCAGCTGGGATCATCAGAGGCTTTTAAAAGCATTTTTTTCTGCAACTTCTTCAGCCGAAGAGGTTGTAGAAAAAATGCTTTTAAAAGCCTCTGATGATCCCAGCTGAGCTTCCTGATCGTCAGAGGCTTTTAAAAGCATTTTTTTTACAACCTCTTCAGCCGAAGAGGTTATCGAAAAAATGTTTCTAAAAGGAAAAAAAGCCTCTGCTGATCAGGCAAGTCAGCTGGGATCGTCAGAGGCTTTTAAAAGCATTTTTTACAACCTCTTCTGCCAAAGAGGTTGTAGAAAAAATGGTTTTAAAAGTAAAAAAAAAAAGTTGACCACGCCCACTCAGACATATTACCCCACCACCACCAAGCCACGCCCACAGAACTGGTAGTAACAAATTTTATATTTCACCACTGATCTAAGTGAATATTTAACAAAATAAAATGTCCTTGCAAAGACAATAACATCAAGAGATTTCATCAGAGAAGAGGAATCATGGTGGCTCCATTAAATATACTGTATAGATGAAAGCAAATCTGTATTGATTGTAGGAATATGTACAAATGATGTTGCCATTGTGCCATTTGACTTGGAACATTTTCCATTGAATTCAATAGAATATACTCCCAAAGTAAGGTGCTCAGTATCGGAATCTCAGTGAGTTGGTCGAAAGGGAAACAGATGTCAAAGAGTAGTTTGAAGAGATTGGTGAATCACATTTGAAAATTGTCTCCTTCTCTCTCTCCTCCCCACCTCCAGTTGCTCCTCCGGAGAGTCTGCAAGTGGCTGCAGTCAGAGACCAATCAATTGACCTGGAATGGGATGGCCCAATGGCTGTGACTGAATATGTCATTTCCTACCAGCCAGCTGTGCCAGGGGGTCTGCAGCTCCAGCAGAGGGTGCCAGGTGACTGGAGCACTGTCACTCTGAAGGAGTTAGAGCCAGGCCTGACATACAACATCAGCATCTATGCTGTTATCAGTGAAGTGCTCAGTGCCCCTGTTGGAGTCAAGGTAGCCACCCGTAAGTATTCTCTACTTATTCTGCACCCTGAATTGCTATTTCAGGTTTCACAACTGAGAGAAGTTTTTAAAAAGAGATTTTAAGGACATCCCTTTTCATAGGTTTAAAAAGGTTGAAGATTAAAACACAAAAAAGTCTCTTTTTGAAGGTGATTGGTTGCAGATATTATAAACTCCTATAGAATTATTGTTAAGAAAGCCTGCTTCCTCTGTAGCAAAGGAGCAATTGTTCTGTTTTGTTTGAGAGACTGAAACGCATTCTAGGCAGTTCGGTTTATTAAGTGTAACTGAAGATTATAATAAAATTTAGTGATTTGAAGTCAGTTTCAACATATCTTAACTAAATCAATATGGAAAAATTTCATTTGGGAAACACATCTGTAAGAATACCAAAGAAATTAAAAGAACTTGGTAAAATCACCAGTAAAGTCAATCATCTCAGTGATTATTGGGTCCCTGGGATTTCCAAATTTCTATATCACATTTCCAAACAGAATTTTGTTTTTCTTCCCTTATCACAACTGTTTGCCCCAGTTCCTTGCTATACATTGCTTGGTAGATATGTTGAATAACATATCTACCAGGGAGATGGTCACATAAAATCTGTCAGAGATATGTTGTATGATGGGACTGAGTCCACTTAACATACTGGAAAAATTGGTTTCACAAATTCTTTGGTTCCAGAAAATATTCATGCGTCCTTGCTCATGCTGAGTATTTATATGTATCCTCACAAAATGATTTATTTAAATCCAAGTGGAACCTGGACAGTATAAGCTTGGAACAGTCATGCTCTACCTATTAAAGTGGACTTATTGAGATATTTTTGCTGCCTGGCAATAAACGGTAGCTTACAGAACCCAACCAAGCTGACAATGGCAACAAGGCTTTACTCTTTTCTGCAGCTGACAACAGCAATCTAATTTAGGGTGGCCAAACCAGACCAGGCTACTTGCTGCACATAGCTTTGTCCTCCATGTCTTCTGCTGATGTTGTTCCCTAACCCTCACATTTGTTAGCTGAAACAGCTGCCACTCTCCCTAATTATAGGCTGACTTTGCTGTGTAGTGTTTGCGGGACAGATTATGCTCTGATTCCAATCAACCAGTTAAGGCCAAACTAATATAAATTCATGTCACAGAACTGCAATACTTGCTTTGACTATAAGAAAGTCACTTTGGGATGGTGGGGAGGAATGTGGAACAAATATAAGCTTCAGAATGCAGGTCACAGACTGAATCAGTCAGACTCAATCACAGACTGAGAAACTGCAATTATGTGATGTTACACTATTGAGTCCTTCCCCAATTTATAATAAACTTGGGTTTTTTTCTACCTGCAGCAACAGGTATGACTTCTAGGGTATCCCACAGCAAGCAGTGTGAATCAAAGGAAGCAACACCCAACAGAATATGCCACAACTCTTATATGGCTAGCTACCTTGGGAAGGGTATGGAGCAGTGGTGGGATTCAGCCAGTTCGCACCACTTTGGGAGAACTGGTTGTTAACTTTCTGACCAGTTTGGTGAACTGGTTGTTGGAAGAAATCATTAGGGCAGCCAATTGTTAAATTATTTGAATCCCACCACTGGTATGGACTTAATATCTCCAGGAATTTATTATGCAGAAAACCTCATTATAGGTGTATGAATAGGTGGTTGGCTTCTTTTGACCTCTGAGCTTCATGAAGACAAAACAGTAGAATTCTGTGCAACAATGAATTGCTCTGTTTGAAAGAAAAATTAGTTGATAGAGGACTGATATCCAGAAAGGAGACCTGAGAAAGGCAAATAATATTATCAAACCAATCTGAATCTTAGCAGAGAGGCATCACATTATAAAACACAAATCAGATATGGCACACTTTCAAAGTTCTATTTATCAGGATTAACTGAAAAGTTTCAACTCTGAGAGCCAATACCGATATTCATGTGATTTTCAAAATCATTGAAATCCAAGTCCCATTACAATCTTTTCATCCCCCAGAAATACTGAGTTAGTAATTTAAAAAGTCAATCAGATGTTGGAAATCTATTGGAAACAACATTAGCATCCTTGCATAATTAGGTCTGTTTCATCTCAGATCATATCTGCTCACAAATTTTGGGTTACAGCAGTGCTTGGGAATTCAAGTCCATTAAGGTTAAGGGAGGGAGGGTAACCTGGCCTGCTTGTATGAGTATGGTAGCATCTTGAATTAGAGGTATTGAAATTTTCATATCACAGAAATAAGTTCAGTCACCTTTGCTGTCAACACATAAAGCAACTGCTAAGGATATGGTTTGTGGGGTGATTAAAAAATTGGCAACCCTTAGCTTACATATGTTTTAAAATTATGCCATTGTAAGGAAAGAGAGATGATTTAAGGTAATTGTAAATCAATTGATCTTAGATATCATAATGAAATTCATCTTTCAGTAGGTGAACCACAAGGGAAGTACACATACACATAGACACAGTTTTATTGGTGCTGCCTGCAGCATTCATAAAGCCTTTCCAATATGTTTTTCTCGCTGAGTTTCTTGTATTAAAACAACGATAGGCAAGAGAAAAATATCTCAACTGACATCTATTCAATTCACTTGATTAAAACCAAATAGCTTCCATTCCTATAGATAGATTAACACTTTCTGGCTATGATATCATAAAGATACAACTGAAAATTTAGAAGTATGAATTACAGGCAATTGCAGCTTTGAGCTGACAATTATGAATATTCTGAGCTTTCAGTCAGGAAGGGCTGTGGCACTCTGCCAAATGAATTTGTCATTAGGAAAGCCAGGCTCCTTGTGCATTCATGAAAACCTTCTACTACTGAAGAAACAAGCATAGCTTGGAAAGAAACATATGGAGATCAGTTAGCCTCTTTCGTCTTCATTATCTTGATTATGCAACCAACTTTTGCATTAGTGCATTACTGACCCATAGAGCTTGTTCGGGATATCATTGTGGACATAATTAATCTTCTGCAAATATCCTTGCTTCGTGCTGAAGTGTTACCCCGGGGAAAATCTCCCTTCTGTTCACAAAACTGTTCCATTTTCAATAACTTGGATTCTTTCAATTAGTAGAGAGTTCTTTCAAGAAGTAGAGATATACTTTTCTTTGTCTTATTTTCACCATTCCCTCTCTGGAGTTATAAGTACATAGTATAAGTGTTCTAATTGTTCTGTTGAAGCAGGGTGTCTCCCAGTTATGTACTTTGGACAATGGAAAATAGGCATTTGAGTATGTAGTGAGGAGGATAGTTAAACCTGAACTAAAGAAAGATTGTATTCCCCATCTCTATCTGCATCTCTGTATTTCAGAACTCTCTACTCCACGAGGACTGCAGTTCAAAACTATCACAGAGACCACTGTTGAGATGGAATGGGAACCCTTCTCCTTCTCCTTTGATGGCTGGGAGATCAGCTTCATCCCCAAGGTAGCTGTCTTGCCTTTGGAGATATCCTTTTAACAGAAGTAGTTGTTATCAAAACATGTGGAGAAATTTCAAGTTATGGTATCTTTGGTACATAGGCTGGGGGAACATGTACAGTATGTGTGCAGCACTAGAGGGAAGACAAAAAAATAAAAAAGTGAACAAAGACCCAGGAGAAACTTTAATTTTAATATGCAATTTATTGAGGGTGGGTATACATTAGCAGGAAAGGAGCAACCTTATTCAACTTACATTCAGTTGACACTGAAATAGTTAAAGCTTTCAAGGTTCAGCAGTAACATTTAAGATTGAACACAGGTTCAAAGGGGCATTTAGAAGGCTTAGAGTACAGATTAGAAAGTGATAGAGAGGCCATGATCCCTATCAGAGAAAATGTTATTGAATTGGTAGAAATGAGAGATTTTCCCAACTTCAGTTTGGATGGTTGATGCCTTCATGCTTTTCTCCGCCTGCATGCATGATGGGATATTGCTCAGGGATAGCCTATCATTAAGGAGAATAAACCAATTACAATGCAATGTTGAAAATCATTAGAGATATGTCTTACCTAGTTACAATCTGTTCATGACCATAAGGATGTTTTTGCCAAAGTAACATCCAAAACACCTGGGAAATTGGATTCCCACCTTTAATGGTTCCAACGGTAGAATTTAGAGTTAAGTTTCTGATTGAGGGGAAAACATCTGCTTGAAAGAGAAATTGGAAAAGAGAAATCTGCTGAATCTGCATACAAGAGCTATAAGGGTTAATTCTTCATTGTCCAGTATAGGCAAGTCGCTTGGGAAAAGAGACTGAGGGACACTAAACCATCAAATTGAAGATGCCTTGTAAAGAGCAAGATAAGGAATAAAATTGCAACAGAAAGTTTCATAGAGTAGTGACTCTTAATAATGTAAATTGGAAGTAACACCGTTTGATCTTGGAGTTCTTAGTGTCACTGGGATTTTCTTGATTATCATCTTGGAACTTCCCTTTATTGATATATTTACCCAAATATATACCTTTTCCACTGATGTCTGCATTATCAATTTATTCACACATTCCTGGATTAAAGCAGAAATTTGACTTGGTTGTTTGTTAATATATCCTTCTTTCTAGAATTATCCTCAATAGAGCTAGTTTTGGTTCTGTCTTTGGACAAGATTAACACAGTAGATCAGGGGTGTTAAACTCATGGCCTGTGGCCTGAATGCGTCACATGCTGCCCCCCCCCCCGGCCTGCTTTAGCGAAGGAGGAAAAAGTCCCGATACGTCACGTGACGCCACTGTGATGATGCGAGTTTGACACCCCTGCAGTAGAGCATCTCCCTAGAATGGATTTTACCTAGTTTATGTGACTTTTCCTCTGCTTGGATCCTGTATCCAACTCACTTTTTCTTTCTCTTTGTCCTTCTTCACATGACTACATGAGATATTGCTTTGTTATACACCCTTCCCTGGACCACTTAAAGGCTTAAAGAGATAGGCAGAAGAAATAGAAATCAGCAAGTAGTGGAAGAAGCTGACATGCATAAAGCAGGCCACCTTTTGCTGATGTCACACTATAGAGTGAAGATCACAGGATTGATGTTCTGGTTGTAGTTTGCTGCTGACCGTAGATATAAACCCCCTGCTCTGTGAAAAAGGCATCAGCTTTTTTGATCATTACATCATTGCATGTATAGTATAGTGAAAGTCAGAATTACTTTGTTTTCTAATTCATAATATATTTGCAAAGACAGAACTATACGTATCATTATGTACAATTATTTTATACCACTACATTGTCACTCATACATGAATAATATATTTTGAATTGAATACTTTAAGTGCCCAAGTGTGATTAGACACACAAGGAATTTTTCACACAAATATTTTATGAAAGGACTGAACCTGCAGCTCACCAGTCACTAGTGTGGTGGAACTTACAGAGCAGGTGCTACTTTTATTTCTTTAATAGTTTGCTATATTATTTTAATGAAATCATATTTAAAATGACTAATAAAAGTTATTTGGTAACAATGTTCTCCTGCCTTCACTCTGTTTCATGGATTCAAGGTAATTTATAGAAATTGTTTTAGTACCTACTTCTGTAACAGTCTTCGCAATTTAAGTATTAAGTCTGGATAACCAAACTAATAAAATTATTCATGTAAATCTCAGTTTATGGGGGATTGGAATATACTAACAATCACTTTTGTATATTTTAAAAAGATTACCTATTTTTAAATGTTAGTGGAGGCAGGAAAACATTGAACATATAAGCATGCTGCAGGAAATACTGAAAGTTCAGCCGCATACATATTGCATTTACAATAGCATAAACATACCTACAAGCTCAACAATTCATCCATCAATCTCAGGGATAGTAACGCATTCTCAAACACAAACAAAATATCAACAAAAGATTTCTCAGTCACACAAAAGATTATTCATTTTCTCAATCTTCTATTTCTCCTTCCCTCTCTTTTTTCCTTTCTTTTTCACACATACACAGGCTTCCTTACAGTTTCTACTGTATATTCTGTATATTCCTCCATCCTGCATATATATGTGTGTGTGTGTCACTGCAAAATCCCCATTTCCTCCTGATCAGCTGGGACTTCGGAGGCAGAGAATAGATGCGGGCAGGGCCACTCAGGATTTTTATTACGGTTCTCTGAACTACTCAAAATTTCCACTACCGGTTCTCCAGAACTGGTCAGAACAGTCCAACTCTAAGTAAATACTCACTTTATGATTTATTAAAATTGAGACAATTATTTTTCCCCCTCAAAATTGAAAGAAAATCCATTCTTACCATACTTTTATTTATTAGCAAAAGTTTACAAATTCCTATACATATTTGTCCACTTTTTAGATTTATTCATGGGGATTATATATGCTCTTTTGTGTTTTAAAAAGTGGGGTAAGAACACTGGAAGGTTGTAGATGCCATATATTATTAGAATCTATACTGCTACAGACTGCCCCTTCATGCTACAAAAACATTTTCATACAGTAAATTCACTATAGCTCCCAATTTGCTGGGGTATGGATGTTTCTCTTTCTTTGCAGAGAAGGGAAGTAAATTTTAGGGCACAGCAACATGATGTTCAGTAATGCCCAAGGAGACAATTCAAAGTTTATTTAACTTTGAATCAGTTTTTTTAATGTCTATAGGACAATGAAGGGGGCGTGATTGCTCAACTTCCCAGTAGTATGACAACCTTCAATCAGACCGGTCTGAAAGCAGGTGAAGAGTACACAGTCAATGTTGTAGCTCTCAAGGAACAAGCCCGAAGTTCACCCACTTCAGCCAGTGTTTCAACCTGTAAGTAACCCTAACTGACTTTTTTATGTAAGCTTGTGAATTAATATCAGCCTTCTTTCCTGATGGGAAAAGACTATTTAAAAAGTAATTTGCTTCAAGAAGAATCATCGTGTTTAGGAATAATATACTTCTAAATAATAAATGCAGTGATAGAAGAGACTTTTGCTTTTTCCTTCATGCTCTATTTGTGGAACACGAACCTGTATGAGCATTGTTGGAACCGTTTTGCTGGAATGGATAGATCGACAATAAGGTTAAACAAGTTCTCACCTAGGAAGCAAGGATTTCATTTGTCTAGAAATGTTTCTTGTCATCTTTTTTACATATCTGCACTTAGCAAAATCTATTTTGGGGAGTGGAGGAAGAAAACCATGCAAATAGCTTCAACACAGGATGCATCAACAAAGCTAATTATAAAGAGTTAATGAATTCTTGATCCGGGCAAAAATATGTATGCCAGCTATTGCATAGCACAAGGAGGTCTTCCTTTAAAGAAAAGAGAACATGCTAAATATTAATGCGCAATCCTGATGGACACCTTACTTATCCTTTCATCATGTCAGCAAGTACATACAGACATTTATTGCACACAAACATTTTTCCCCCTTTACAGATATAGCAGTGTTTGAGAACTGCTTACGGGATGTAGCTTACCAATGACATCTATAGGCCAAGTGAAGCAATTATACATTTCAACTAGTTTAAGAGACTTTTCTGCCTAATGGTCCATAAGCAAAGCCATACCTTGCTGTGATGATAGAAGAGCTGCTAGAATAATCATTGGTTTCATTCTCTTTATTTTCCTTTGGGTTTTGACCTTGACTTATGTTTTGCAGTATGAGTAAGAATAAAGGAGCTTAAAGTATGCTTGGTGTCAAGACAAGGCCAGCAACATGTCAGCAGGAGTTGACAGGACCTTCCAGGAATACTGTACAACTTGAGTGAAAAAAGACTCATAGAAACTAATTTTTTTAGAGGAATATCTCATATTGACACTTCAGTGTCTTTAGTGTTAGAGTAGTAAGGATTACAACCTCAAATGAAATTCACAGCTTCTCATATAGAGTTCAAATTGTATCTCCAGCTTGAAAAGATTCTAATCCGAAACCAGTAATTCATGACTGGTATGAGTCATTCTGCTATGTCTCTATATTCTCAATGAAAAATTATTAGAGGGAAATAAAAACAGTGGAATGAATCTAAGTTATTTATTTTTATTTATTTATTATTTTTACAACAACTCAAGGCATTGAACATATCCAATAAATCTTCCTCCTCCTACTTTCTCTACAACAATGGGTATCAAATTTACCGCGTCACATTGCCATCACATGAAGTTTTGTGATGTTTTTTCCATTCGCAGAGCTAGGGTGGGTGGGGCCTGCACATGACACATCTGGCCCACAGGCCACCAGTTTGACACCTCTGCCCTACAACAACAATCCTGCAAGGTGGATTGGGTGAGAGAGAATGACTGGCCCAAAGTCACTCAGTTGTTTTTCTTAACTAAGGCAGGATTTGAACTCATGGTCTCCTGATTTCTAGCCTGGTGCCTTAACCACTAGACCAAACTGGGTCTTTCTATATATAAGTTGGCCTCCTTATTGTATGTGAAATTCTAAGTATGGTTCTAATGGATACAAATAGTTGGTGCCATTTGCCTCAACCTCAATCTACACAGAGTTTTTTTTTTTAAATCCTTTGTACCTATTAGAGGACTGTAACCATTTCACACGGAATTCTTTCTTAACTTCCATGTCTTTACCTTCCTGGTTTTAATCTTTCTTGGCACCTTTGACCATTTTTTTTCCTTCTGTTTCATATACAAAATTTAGGATCACCAACCACACTTAAAAGTCCTTAGTTTTCAAGTAAGTTCCTTTGCTAATAAGAAGCTGAAGTTCTCAGCAATAATTTACTTCTGCATTTATACATTGTAAAACACTACAGTGAATATATGCAGACTTTCGGTAGGGATATGTCAGTCAGCATCAATCCAATCTATTTCCTTACTTACTTTAAATGCAGTTTTCTTTTCCCATGAAGATTTTTGAATAAAAATCTAAATAAAAATAAAAATAAAATAAATCTATCTGAATATACATTCTCTGAACCATTTAAACACAAAAGTAAAGATATACAAAATTGTCACTGCTCTTTTTTTTTTCTTTTTACCCTAGTGAGGTTCCTCTGGAAATAAACTTGTCAATGAATATAGATTGCTTCTTCTAATATTCAAAACACTTTATTTCAACTATAATGTATATATTTAATTATATATATATATATATATATATATATATATATATATATATATATATAGTTTTTAAAACTAATACATATTAATAAACAACAGAAGTAGGAAAGAAAGAAAGCAAAAAGCAAAAGTGAAGAAAGAAAGAGAGAGAGAGAGAGAGAGAGAATAAAAAAGATAAAAATAGAAGAAACTTCTGATTTCCTTTGAGGCATGTATAAGTACAATTACAAAATTATCTCTTACTCTATGATTACCACAAACAGCTATTGGTAATAGCTTTTCTGTTATCTTTTCTTTCTAATTATCAAAACTACAAATTATAAATGCATTTTTCTGTTTCATGCAAAATGTTTATTAGGGATTCCCACTCAGCCATAAATGTACATTATTTTGTCCCTTTGATCAAAGAAATTAATTTCTTCTTTTCTATTTGTTCACGTACTTACTGTCTCCAGTAATTGATGGGCCAACCCAGATTTTGGTTCGTGATGTCTCTGACACTGTGGCCTTTGTTGAATGGTCTCCACCCCGGGCAAAAGTGGACTATATTCTACTGAAATATGGCCTAGAGAATGAAGAAGGGGGAAAGTCTACTTTCCGCTTGCAGCCTCCACTGAGGCAGTATTCCATGCAAGCTTTACGACCTGGCTCCCAATATGAAGTCTCTATCTCTGCTGTCCGTGGTGCTAATGAGAGCGATGCTGCAATCACCCACTTTGTAACAGGTAAGACCAAGCATTAGTTGAATATTTCATTGGTGTAACGCTGGTCCTCTGCTTTCTCCCTCAGTACAGTAGAGGAAGAGTCATAGCTTAGTATTATGGTATATTCTTTGCATTTAGAGGAATCTGGAGGGAAATGCTAGCATTTCTACCTAAAAAAATATTTCAGTCTTATCAAAATCAACCTCTGCCTGAGATCTTGGAAAACTTATCTACTGAAATAAATAGATTAAAATAATAAAAACATATCCTTATGAAGGTAGGCTGTCACAGGATAGGTCTAAGGCTCCAAAGCTTTTGTCTTAAGGAGGCAGTGTGAAACAGCATTCCAGGTTTTCTCCCCTTTTATTCCAACTACTGATAAGCAAAAGCAGTTTGCTTTCTTACGTGAAATTATTCGCTTAATTTAATAACTCACTTAAATTACTTGTTTTGCAAGTACATTTGCAAGTGTAAATAAAAATATTTTTTCTGAATTCTAACTCTCACCTCTATTCAACTTTAAACCTAACTTGTGTGTGTGTGTGTGCGCGTACAAGTAATGATACAAGCTTAACATTTGTTAATTTCAATTCTGTCCCTGCCTACTCTTAATTCTAGGTTCAGAAAGAATTTACAATATTAATGGCAATTGGCTTTGATCCAGCTGATGATCACTTGAGAATTATAACTTTAGAATTCATTTCTTTTCTCATTTTTCAACCTCTTCCTCTTCCTGAAAAAGCTAATGAGCTTTGATCAGTGCAAATATTGCCTAATCCTTGTAAGGATCACTAGCCTGTTTCTGGATTGAAACCAACCATCCATCTTTACGTATTGTCTAAATCTATATTATCTGCCAGATTTCAACTCCATTTCCAACTTTCTTTTTTCCAGAGCGCTTCACTGAAAATTTTTAAGACTACCTCCTTTGCCAACCCATCTGCAGCCTTCTCTTTTTTCTATGGGAATCTTTTGATTGAACCTTTGTTCTTACCAAAAAAAGTGAGCACAGTTTGTTCAGTTTGGAGTCTGCATCAATGAATGGCTCCACAAAGAGCCAATGAGAAACTGTAGGCAAAAACAGGCTCAGATCGCAGGCATGTGGCATCATTATTCTACAGGCATGCTAAGTACTTTGGCACTTACTGAATAACCTCCTTTTGGTCCTCCCTCTTTCATCATAGCAGCAGAGAAACACCATCCTGTCAACCTTTTCAGTTAGAAAAATAATGTGAAATTAAAAATCATTAATTCCAAAAGAAACCAGCTTACAAAGCAAGCATAGGGAGAGAGGATAGAATATTGGGTTGAAAGAGAAGCATTACACTGGGAAGGAACTCTGACCAACCTCATAATAAATGTATTGTACATTCTAGTATCATATTCAAGAACTTAGAACAGGTTTTTTTTTAGTCAACACTATAGTCAGCTAGCAAGTTTAATTTACAACTCCATAAAGGAGGAAATGGAAAACAGAGCTTGCAACTGTTTTATGGCTTAGATATTGCCTGTCATAAAGATTTCAGATGGATACTAGAGCTTTGTATCATCTCTATGATAATATTGTGCTGACTGTACTTAAGAGAAAGGGGAATGTGCATCTATTGATTTGCTGAGTTTTTCATTCCTAGACTTTCTTTGGTGAGATGTCATAATCAAAACAATAAATAAAGTAGCAAAACTATTGCATGATGTATTTGCTACTCTTGTTTCACACAGTGCAAAATGTTCTTATTTTGCTTTCAGTACCCAGAATGTGGCATGGCAACCCTCAAAATGCTAGGGAAGGATACCACAAAATGATACATTCGGGTCAATTATTCTTCCACAAGGATGGCTGTGATTAATTTCTTTCAAAGATAGCTACAACTCTTCCAGACCACTAACTTTTCCATCTCCAAACCACAGTGAATCCAATTTAAAATATACCTGAGGTAGAGCCAAGCTTTTTTTGATCCATGACTATTTTTAGATTTATTTGGATATTAGGATGTTTTAAGCGTACAATATGTTTTCAATTCAAAGTTCACAGAGAACTGCTGATCAATGAGCACTTGCACTTCTTGGTCAATAACAGTGCATAAAGAACTGTCAATCAGTGCTTGTATATTAGCCAGCACTTGAATGCCTTTCCATCTCCTCTTCGATGCAGGCCTAAATGCAATAGCAATAGCACTTAGATTTATATACCTCTTCACAGTGCTTTACAGCCCTCTCTAAGCAGTTTACAGAGTCAGCATATTGCTCCCAACAATCTGGATCCTCATTTTACCCATCTCAGAAGGGTGGAAGTCTGAGTCAACCTTGAGCCTGGTAAGATTCAACCTGCCAAACTGCTGGCCGCTGGTGATCAGCAGAAGTAGCCTGCAGTACTGCACTCTAACCACTGTGCCACCGCGACAAATGCAAATCCTTTTCTCTTCTTCCATGTTTTGTTCAAAAAATGCTAGTATTTCCACATGATTCTGTGCATAGCAAAACTCTATTGCCTTTTTACTTCTTTTTTTTTTTTAAGAATTTTTTTATTTTTTAAAACAAAACATAAAACATAAATCCATCATCCATACAATTGCAAACAGTGTGTCGGTCAGTTACAAGTCTTTTACACTTCCTCACCATATTCATTACTTACTAATTATCTAATTTCTCATATTACCAGTCTAATAAGTATCTTTGTGATATAATCCTCATTAATCATTTAACTATGGCTTTCCCCTTTTTTTCATAAAAATTATTTTCAAATGTTTATATTATAACATTCATTTCTTCATCCTAGGTTAACAATAGCCATACAATTATATTTTGTATTATATTTTGTATATTTCTACCATTCTTATGTTATAATGGTCTCATCTCTATTTCATTTTCATGTTTTATTATCTAGCCATTGATAAAATAAATCCCATATCTTATAATATTGTTTATCTTCTTGTTCTCTAATCTCAAATGTCAATTTGCTCATTTCAGCACATTCCATAATTTTCTTAATAACTTCATCTTGCCTTTTTACTTCTAACCTGGCATTCCAGTATTTTTGCATTTCGGCTCTTTATCAGTTCATGGCAGCATGCTGCTATGACTGGATCCTATGATTTGGGAGGTGGGACAAGCCAGGACGTACACAAGGTGGTAAGAAGTTGCTATTTTTGAAACATTTTGTACCTTGAGGGGGTGTTTTTCTCACCACAGACTGAACGCAATAACACTGAGATGCATTGCAATTCCTTATAATTGTAAATCCCTGATTATGTCACTGATCAACGGGAAACTCATACCACACCAACTTCAACAGGAAGACCTCCGCATCTTAACTCACTTTTCTTAAAATTACTGAAGACCTTTCTTTTGGTGTGGATTAAGACAAATCAGCAGAACTAAAACCTCACTGAAGTCAAATTTAACCTCTGCCTCTTTTAATAAAATGAAATGCAACTACCACATCACACTCCAGTCCATATCATCTTAGGTGTAAATCTCATACAGGAATGTTTCCTCCTAGGTGACTGGATGTAGAATTTTACCTGTAATTTTAATCTGTAACTCTTTTCTGTGCAGCTTTAAAGCCTCCTGACCTTTTATTCCTGCTTCTGTTTCTCTTCTTGCTGCTATTTGCAATTCAGATTGGGCTCAAATTTATACAGTTCTGATACTGGCCCTGCATATCATTTACTGAGGTTCCAGGAATACTTGTCAGCTCCACAATGAAAATGTACACAGTTGAAAAGGAACCCAAACCTACCCAAATATTTATGTATGCAATTTGCATCTGGTTTTTCTGTCTATAGTTAGGGGATAATTGGGGCATATCCTGCAGCAATTTGTAATTGCTTGTTTGTGAGTCAACAATCCAATTTGGGACTGCCACTGCTAAGATGCTTGTGTAAAACCACAGTTTGTTTTTTGTGTACATAAATGGGCAGGCTAATGACATTATTTGAGGCCAAAAAAGGGGTAATTGGATCAAACAGTTTAAGAACCACTGTTACAGGCAAAGCATGCTTTTCAACCAGGTGCATATTTAAATGTGAAACATCATTGTTTCAGGTCCCTTATGTATTCATGTGAGATAGAAGGACATACCTCTGAGAGCCCTGAGCCAAACAATAGTATTTCTTTTTTAAATGTCAAAATGCAAAAGAAGGAGCCTATCCCAGCAGATAGTCCTGGACCAAAGAAGCTAAAGGGAACATTCAGCTTAGAGCAGCTTCATGTATAGCATTATGCTCCTTTTAAATGTAACAGAAAGAACAAAACTCAGTGAGATAAGAATGCTGTTCACATAGCCACATTCAGATTCAATTTCTAAATCTAAAAGCTCAGAAAGATTTCTTGTTGCCTAAGACTGTACAGAATCAATTCTAATAACAGAGTCCTTTATTTCATAAAATTAAACTAGGCTTTAATTTGAAGCAAATTGATTTCATTTTAAACTCTGACTCCTTGGATTTTCCATTTTTGGCTTCATTTTAAATGTAGCAGATTTGACATCAACTGAAACATATATCTTTAATGTGTTACACAACTACATAGTTCTTATAGTTACCATTGTTGATAGTTTATAATTAGCAATTCCTTTGTGTTTATGGTTCAAATTATCTCTTCCTAGAGTAATAGCGTGAAACCTAAATAACCTGTCCACCTGAATTGCTTTTGAAATGCATTTCCAAACATATCTTAATAATATGAGATATATTTGGTGTGAATATAAAGTATATAATATAAAATTGTATTGTTTGCTTTCTTTTTCTAATGCAGAAATTGATGCTCCGAAGAATTTACGCGTACTCTCTCGGACATCAGACAGCCTAGACCTTGAGTGGGACAATAGTGAGGCGGAAGTGGAAAACTTCAAAGTGGTATACAGCACCCTGGCTGGTGAGCAGTACCATGAAGTTTTGGTGCCACGCAATGCAGGTGCCACATCCAAAGCCACACTCACTGGTAAGCCTTTGGACTAGTTGCAGAGACTCCAGTGGAAAAACCTCATAATTGCTTTTAAGTGCAAACATACATGTGCCATTGCAGTATAATCTCTTCGTTCTAGATCAGGGGTGTCAAACTTGCGGCCAGATGTGTCATGTGCTAACCACGCCCACACCCAGTTTAGCAAAGGGGGGGGAGTCATAATACATCATGTGACAACACGGGTTTAACACCCCTGTTCTAGAAGATTAGTATTTCATTTGTTTAAATCGTTAGATTTATATTCTACTTTTCTTCTAGGAACATAAGGAAGTATATATTGCATTTCTTCATTTAATTATAAGCCAAGGGTAACAATCAGAGAAGAGAAAGAGAACGACTGGACCAAAAGCAGCCAGAGAGCTGAGATTAGGACTTCAGTCAGGCCTTTCAAGTCTTATCCAACAGATCAACCATTTATATCTGAACTTTGTTGTTATTGTAATGGCCTCAGAACATGAAAAGCAGTTTGGGATGAAAGCCCATTGGTATTCTTATTGCCTTTGCAAAATAATGCCACTTTAAAGATTAGCACAGCATTTGGATGCTAGTCAACCTCCACACTTTTTATATTTTAAAATAAACTACTATTACACAATTCTCCTAGAGCTACAAAATAAAAGCCCCAGAAGAAAATAAAAAACAAAAAATACTGTAGCATAGTATTTTAAATAGGAATGATTACCTTAAGATGTTCTTTCTGTATTGTGTTCAATCTATAGTGGCTCTTTTGTGCCTCAAAATCTTCATGAAGCTACCATAGTTTATTCAAAAGTTGAAAAAGTGTCTCCCTTTAACAAAGTTTCTTATAAGAAATATTTTCAATTGGTCAGTTTATTTGTAAACTCTTTGGCTCTCCCAAAGGCTCCTGTTTTTCTCCTTTACCTTGGTCTCTTTAGTAAAACGGGTTTTGTTCTGTGCACCCTGAAGTAGAAAATGGTACTACTGTTTCTCACCTCTTTCCAGTTTTTCCTCCAAATATAGTTTTTGAAGCACAGATGAGTCTAAGAACATAAAATAAATTTTCTTTAATGCCTCCTTAAATAAAAAAAATGTGAATTTACCCTACTGGGCATATTTTAAAATTTATTTTGTCTATCTCTTGCTTCTTTTCCTACACAAATGCAGTATTTTCAATAGACCCCAGTCTCTGTACTTGAAACAACCAAGTAGTTTTTATGCATTGCTGCCTTAAATAGATTTTTAATGAAAATTAACATCCATTTATCTGTTGAAGTTAATATTTGTGGCAGAGATGTCTCATTATCAAGGAAACTTCTTATTGTATGCCATTACAGTATCATCTAAATATTTATGAACTAAATTATCTGAGCCCTTGTCCATTGTGCGAAATCCCCAATGTCAAGAGCCCACCCCTCCATCTATTGCTTTTGTTACACCATCTGCTGCCTAAGAAATGCACTGGGAAATTAAGGGTACAGGTGAGGGGAAAGGTACATAGGTACGCCGTTCACAAGATTGGGGGGACATTTAAAGGAAGATTTCAGATTGTGCCTTTATTGGGCAGTTACCTTTTTCATTCACAGAACTTCACCAAGGGTCCAGGTAGTATCTTCTTGCTTTGTAGCCCTCTTATGTTTTCCACATTCCTTTTCTTGTCTTACCATAGAAAATCTTTAAAAAAAAAAAAGCTTGGCCTTTTGATTGATAGCATGAAAAGCTTATTTGTCTAGAAATAGCTGCAGTGGGAGACCTACCACATACCTGAATAACTTCAGTTGAAATCAATAGGATTTCAAATGAAATCAATAGAACACTTGACTTTGAATTGTAGCTAGGGAAAAGGATGGATATGTTGTTCTTGTTCTCATTAAAACACCCTTGGATGTCTACTGGTCAGACTAATGGCCATCTATTCCATCACACCCCAAGAGTAACCCCCCCCCCTCGATCACCAGCCTCCCAAGCAAGGCAGGGTAATAACAGCCCTCCAATGTTTTTAGCTTCTACCTTCTACATTGAAAAATGTATAGCCTCCAAAGAGGGAGGGGTAGGTAGTATACTCTGTTCTGTACAATCCTTGCCTAAAAGAAGCAGCACTCTTATAATGGATTAAGTTGCTCAACCTTTGCTTTGGGGCCTAGCAAAATATACCTTAGTGAGCAAATCTTTTCATTTGTAACTGAATTATGATTTATTTTTTAAATGACAGGGATTCCCACAAATAAAATTTTTGTATCCAATACACAAGTGAGAATACTCAAAACAGGGCTGGAAGAGTGAAGGGGTACATAATTTTTCAGATATTTAGGGTATGTTTGAAAAAGAAGAAGTAATAGGAGCATTTCCAGGTGAGGCTTAATATTATAGGTTCATAAAATGGAAAACATATTTTGTTTCGAGTTCAAAGGAAAATACTTTAAGTTGTCTGCATTGTGACAGAACTGATCTTTAAAAGCATCCTAAATGTTCCTTATTCTTTTAGAATAAAAACATCTAATGTTTCATATATTCTGGACATGGAGAATAATTGAAATATGGAATATGGTGTCAATGCCAATATTTTCCACAACATTTGGTGGGGTAGGGCTTGTCCATATTGACTGAAACTTGCAGAAATTCTGGCATGTTGTTTTTTTTTTAATGAAAACAGGAAATGTCTCAGACAATCTTAAGAAACAGAGCAGAAAATTATCTGATTTGATGCTGGGGTACTGGATCCAATTAAAAATTAGTCAGCATCTCTTAGTTTGATCATTCCAGCCATTGTTATAGTAGATTTATTTGAAAGATTTCATTCAGGAGGAAAGGTAACATAATAGCATCTTTCCTCCTATTTACTGCCACAACAACCTCTGAGGTAGGCTGGGCTGAGATAGAATTGGTCCAAAGCCAGTTTGGACTTAAACCTGTTTCACCTCAGTGCCAGTCCAACATTTTAACAGCAGCAGCATGCTATATCAGTAAATGTTGCCAAACTTTCTGTATGATGGCAGTGAAAAAAAGGGACTATTGCCTGCTTCTTGAGCAGAAACTGAGAATCCAGCAAGACCTTCAGTCTGAGCACCAGTCCCAAGCAGGGAAATGAAACAGCAATCAAGTCAAAGAAGGAAGGTTGCTAGTATTGGCAGAACCAGCCATGTTCCAAAGATGCTTTTTCAAGAGGCAACTGGACTTTCTGGTTTTCCTTTGAAGATGTTTTGCTTCTCATCCAAGAAGCTTCTTCAGCTCTGAAGAATGAGATGAATGAGATGAAAACATCTTCAAAGGAAAACCAGAAAGTCCAGTTGCCTTTTGAAAAAGCACCTTTGGGACAATCATGATCTGGATGACTGAGAATCTCCATAGACAGGAGCAGCCATGGTCTGGCTATATAAGGTTGCTCCTCCCTATCTAGAACCTTACAACCTCCAGGCACTGGAATAACATCCTGACAGCATCATGGTTGAATAAGAGTCAAGAAGTACAGATGAGGATAATCAATATACCAATACTGTATATGATCCCAAATCAAAGATGGCTATTTCCAGAAGCCTCATGTTGTTGTTCAACAGAAGTGAAGAGCATATTGAACCCTGAGGCACCCTAAAAATCAAGGGCTTCAAGCTCAGTTACTGCCGCCCAACCAGAACTTTTGGAATCTGTTACAGAGAAAGGAGAAAAACCACCATAAAATTATGTTCCTCATTCTCACTTCTGCAATCAGCCAGTAGGATGCCAGTGAATTACAAGCTGCTGAGAGATCGAAAAGGGCCAGGATAGTAGCATCACTCCTAGCCAAGCTCTGTCAAAGGTCATCATTAAGCATAAGTAATGTCCTCTCCATACCATGTAGTCCCAACCTGAAATGCATTCAAATAATCTTATAAATATAGCATACATCTTGTGTGCCTTACATTCATTTTACATATACATAAAATCTCACTTAACATTTAACAAAAATGGTTTATTTGTATGTGTGCATGCACATCCATGCAAAAACATCCCCAAAGCAAAGAATCTTTTAAAACTGCAATATCTTACATTCCTGGAAGTCAGGCAATGTCCTGAAGCAGCAAGCAGTTTATTTATTTTATTTTATTTTATTTTATTTTATTTTATTTTATTTTATTTTATTTATTTTTATGGCCACCAACTCATTTTCAGTGTCTCTAAGTGGTTTAGAAAAAGTAAAATATCTCTTTTAAGATCTTGGCTGTGGTTTGCTTGTTGCTCCACCTCATCCATAGAGTTCAACTCAGCTTCAGCCCAGTCTGTCTCCCGGTCAAATTGACAACTGGGACCCACCAATATCATTACTGTCTATGTGGGAAGGTGAGTGGAACATGGGAGAAGGTTGGGGGGTGTATATTAGGATTATAACTGATTCTCACAGCAGTTACAAAGTTTAGTAGAGAGATCTGTAAGCAAACCAGATGGGTTTCTATACAGTGTGCATAACACACAAGCCTTCATAGATAGTTTTTTCCATGACTTAGGCGGCATGAACTAGAGATTTACCTTGATATGATTCATTCCAGTGAGCCAGTGATTGGCTATGTGTTACACAGGCAAGTTTGTGTTTAAGGGACAGCATTCATTCCTTACCATCAGCTATATCTGAATATTGGTAGCAGCAGGCAAAGGCTAATAGTCTGGACGTCTAAGTAAGAGTGCTAACCCTTAGTCTCCATCCAGCATCAGGCAGGGAATGTCCAACCAAGAAGCTTTGTCCTATAGAATGTGAATTGCTCCAATAATTCATCATTTCCCTGTCAATGAAGAATCTCAGTCATCCAGGTAGAGTTGCCTGGAAGCTGACTCGTGGCAACTGGACTTGTTGGTTCGAAACATTTCACTGCATATCCAATTAGCTTCTTCAGACTGGCTGAAGAAGCTACTTGGACGAGCAGTGAAACATTATGAACCAACAAGAACAGAAATCCAGTTGCCATGATTCAACTTCCAGACATCATTTCCCTGAAAAACATACTTTAAGGATGCTGGTTAATGGGAAAATTAACAGTTGAGCAAACCAC